TGGTGAACAAACTTAGGCTGTGTTGACCCTGGTATGACTTTCAAGACCTCTTTTGGTTTGACAATGTTTGGAGGTTTCAAACGCCTATCTACATAGCACTTTTTTTTGTCAGGTGGGTCAGCTTCTTGAGCTAAGATGAAATCCACTGCTTTCTTCATTTCTGAGTCATTACCATCAGTAGATGCATCCTTTGTAGAGTAATTAATTTCCATGTATTGCACAAACGGATCATAAAATAATTCCCTTTTTTCTCTGTTTCCTGCAATTACTTCAGCTGATTGGATCATTTTGCAAGTGTCAACTTTTCCTTTTTCTGGGGCTTTCTTTTCTTGATGGATGTTGAAAGTTACTTGCTCTTCATTAACTCGTAGTGTCAACATTCCTTCTTGCACATCAATCAATGCTCTTCTAGTAGCGAGGAAAGGTCGGCCAAGAATCAATGGTATTTTCTCATCCTCATCCATGTCCAATACCACAACCAGAAAGATGAACTTATCAACCTTCACTAACACATCGTCAATAATGCCTTTGGGATATGTGATCGATCTGTCCGCCAGTTGCTAGGTAAGGATTGGGGGATTCACTTTTCCAAGACCCAACTTTTTGAACACTGATAAGGGCATCAAGTTTATGCTAGCTCTAAGGTCACATAGTGCCCTATCAAATGTGATACCACCAATATTGCACGGGATGTTGAAGCTGCCCGGATCTTTCAATTTGTGAGGGAGCTTCTTCTAAAGTATGGCACTACACTCCTCTGTCAGCTTAATAATCTCAAATTTCTCCAACTTTCTCTTCTTCGACATCACTTACTTTAAGAACTTGGCATAGTTAGGCATTTAGGCCAAGGTTTCTGTAAAGGGAATGTTGATGTGAATTTTCTTGAGGACCTTCAGAAACTTTGCGAATTTTTCATTGAACTCCATCTCAAATACCTCTGCGGGAATGGTAGTGGGGGCTTCAAGATAGGTGGGTTGTCCGGAAATAAAATTGAGTAAGGCTTATAAATCTTCTTTGTTGCATCTGCCTTAGTTTTCTGCCCTTCAGTCTGCTTTTCCCTTGCAAGAATGGGATCCGATGTAGGTACCCCAACCTCTCTAAGCTTGTGTTCTTCAACTGGTTTACCACTTCTTACGGTGATAGCATTGCAGTGTTCCCGTGGGTTAACCTCTGTGTCACTAGGAAATTGTCCTTTTGGTTGAGACTGTATTGCAGTTGCTATCTGACCAATCTGTACCTCCAAATTCTTCACTGTAGCCCCCAAGTTGGTCATATGTGTCTCAATGCTGTCAAGTCTTGCCTCATCTTTGTTGAACCTCGATTTGGTCTCCGAAATGAAGGTTCCTAAAATATCTTCCAGTGATGGCTTTCGCTCAAACGCTTGATTATTGAACCCCTGATAGTAGTTGTTTCCTGAGTAGTTTCCCTTTTGATTGAAATTTCAATCGTTCACATACTGAAGTTGTTCATTCTCCCTTTCAACTTTTTGGTATACAGTGGATGTAGCCATAATAGTTCTGATTTCTTTTGTGATCCATGTGAAGTCAATGCAGTTATTTGATTAGTGAGAGAAGACATTTGAGCTGCAAGGGCGGTTATAGGATCTACTTCATAAAGGCCAGCAACTTTCTTTGCACTTGAACGCTCACTCGACCATTGATAGCTATTAGTAGCTATCTCATCCAATAATGCATAAGCCTCATTTGGAGTTTTGGATAATAGTGCACTCCTTGCTGCAGAATCTACCACTATTCGTGTCTGACCATTCAAACTGTTGTAGAAGGTTTGTATCTGCAACCAATCCGGGTAACCATGCCGAGGACATCTTCTGAATAGATCTTTATCTCTCTCCCATGCCACATAGAATGGTTCAAAGTCTAATTGTCGAAACTGTCCAATTTCACTTCGTAATTGCGCTGCCTTCGAAGGTGGAAATAATTTTGTAAGAAACTTCTGCGCTAACCCCTCCCAAGTTGTGATGGATCCATACAGCAATGATTAGAACCATGCCTTGGCTTTGTCTCTTAGGGAAAAGGAAAATAGGCGGAGTCGGATTGCATCTTCAGTAATGCCATTCATTTTCACTGTATCACAGATCTCCAAAAAGGATCCCAAATGAGTATTTGGGTCTTCTGTTGGAGCTTCCCCAAACTGATTCTGCTGCACCATGTGTATAAGTCCTGGCTTCAGTTCGAAATTGTTTGCAGCAATTGCTGAGCATGCGATGCTAGAATAGTTGTCATTGACAATTGGTCTTATGTAGTCCTGAATAACCCTTTGTTGGTTATCCTCATTGACTGCTCTAGCATTCTGTTCTGCCATTGCTTCCCATTCGTTTCTTTGTATGCCTATGAGAATGCGAAATGTGCGTTCTGGTTCAGGATCAATAGGTAGTAGGTCTAGATTTCACGCCCTTCGCATAAGCAGCTGAAAATAACCACAAGGAAGCCTTTAAAGATAGACACAAAAGGAATAAAATAAAAATAAAAATTATGATAGAAATAAAAATCTAAAGTAAAATAAAAGCTAATTGGTAATAATATCAATTGAATTCAAATAAATCAATCCCCCGGTAACGGCGCCAAAAACTTGCCACGTAATTTATGCAACGTGATTTTTAAACCGCAAGTGTACGGTGTTAAGTTTTGTAATATAGTAAAGAAGTTAGGATGTTGAACCCGCATGGATTGATTTCGAATTAATTGAGTACTATAATTATTTTAGGTTTCCCTTTATTTAGACGATCAAATTTTGAGTCAATGTTTTTATGCTAAATTAAAATTAAATAGGATGAACGATGCAAGTAAACGAGGGCAAATTATGAAATTTCTTATCAAATTATAAATGCCTAGGGAATGATTTCACCGTACATTCGACAATATTTTTCAATCGTATAACTATTTCTATCAATCTTTCCAAAATTTATAGGCAAGAACGCTAAAGTGATTCTATTTCCCTCTCTCGAGCGCCAAATAAAATTTATTTTTATATATTAATTCCAATATCTCTATTCCGAATTAAAAATATAAAAATTATCAAGCACGTGGTTCTTAATTAAAACAAATTTCAAAGATTCGCACTTTCTCTCGAAACCTACGAAATCAAGATTATGTTGTCTTAGATCACGCCTAAATTTGCCTCTCTCGAGAGCCAAAATTTAGAACATCAAATCATTCAATTAGTGGCCAATTAATTGAAAGCATTGCGCACAAACAACATAAATAAATAAAAAGGAAAGATCAATTGAAATAATTATAACGGAATCCAAACATGTCTCAAGTAGGCTACATCATCTCTAGAATAATTGTTTAGTTCATAATTGAGAAAATTGACATGAATAAATTAATCAGAAAGAACATAGAGAAGAAAAGGAATAGAAAAACTCGTTCTTGCCGCTCGATTTCTTCTTCCATTGTTGCCAAATTCTCTTAATTAACTTCCTCTTCTTTAATTGTATTGACTAGCTGTGGATTTTGTCTCCAGATTTTTGCAATTGGCCGGCTAAACTCTTCTTTCCAGTCACGTGTTCTTGCCGGCTGCTTCCAATTTTCCTTGTTCGTTCTCCCCCCCTCTTAATTAGGTCTTTTAGGTAGTATTTATAGTCTCCTCAAGTATTGGACGATTTTAGGTTGGAATGGGTCGAGAAAGAAATTCAAAAATATCAAAATATGTTTCCCCGCATAGGCGGTGCTGCTCTTACTGTCAAATTCAGCTTCATGGACGTTGCGGCGCCCGGTTCGGTTGGAAAATTCTTTCTGCACGTCTTTCAATATTTTTAGCATAACTTTCTCCTCAGATATTCAATCGAGGTGATTCAAAGCTCGTTAGAAAGCTAACTCAAAGGGGTACAAATTTTCTTCAGATATTATTCTCCGCTTCGATCGTTTGCTATGTCAAAAATGAGTCTCAATGTGAGGCTAAAATTCCGGAGCACAACTTTTTGGTTGGAAATTGATTTGTGATCAAATTTTGACTAAATTTGATCCCTTTGACATCTTCTTTTCATCCAATTGACTCCTAGCATGCTCGGATCTTCATTTCGAGGTTCAGCACAACTTTTCAATATTTACGCTGTAGTCCCCGAACTTTGGATCTCTTACAATTTAGCAATTTTCTCCAATTTCGTCAACTTTTGCTTATTCTTTCAATTTCATCAACCTACATCACAACATCAAAACACACAATAAAAAGCTCTAAAACACTCTTAAGAGTAACAAAATAACAAATTAGGTGGCATAAATATTATGAATGTAGAGCACTCATCACTGAGCATACCAATTTCTTGGTTTGACTGGATCGGAGCGAGAAATTTCTAATTTTATTTCCGATCACTAAACATTTTTAAAAAAGTCAATTGCATCGTTAAATTTATCTTAATTACATCACTAAACTTCAAATTTAGCTTTGAATTTCACCACTTTGTCATTTTCCAAAGAATAATGCTATGTATCATTATTGCTACTTATCATTTTGAAGTGAATCAGTGTTGTTTGGTACTTCATTGTGAAATGAAACAAAATCATCTTAATTTCGTTAGTAATGTAATCTATTGAAATTAGGCTGATGATACATAACATTACTCTTTCCTCAACAATGAAAGTTGCTTAATCAGTAGGTCATACCACAAATGATCTTTCACGTAATCGCCACATGACATTGTCAATTATTTCGAAAAGTATTTCAACATTTTAATTAATCTATAGACATCCTATAAATTTATAATCCTTATTTTATCATTTTCATTCTTAAGTATATATAATTATGGTGTTGATACTAACTAAGCATTTTTCATCGGTTTGGGGGCCATAGCTGATATGTGATAGAATGTGACAGAATTCCGAGACTTTAAACTAAATTAAAATTTAATTGAGATGACTTAAATTAAAGTTTCACTTAAAGTTCAGTGATCTTAGATGAAATGTATCCTTCATATATAAAAGAGGCTATCTTTTGCCGGACACGTGTCAGCTATTCCTTTCGTCACCATCCAATTCAATTTTTTTCTTTCTTTCCTTTATTCAAAACGACGTCATGTGATGTTTCCCATTTCTTTTTATTCCATTTGGCACGCCCATTCAAGGCAATAAACCCTTTCCTCTCTAGCTCTCTTCCAGACTTCGGCCACGATTTCTTGGCTCATTGTTAAGGAAAAAAAAAAATTAAAGAAAGCAGGGGCTTCTAGCGTTAGGGCTCCGATCACGTTGTGGGATGCTTTTTTGCTTCAATTATAGCTATATTATATGTGCATTTTTACTTCAATTTTGGAAATATTAACTATTGAAGGTGTGTATTTTTTATATTTACTATATTTGGAGATGCTTAATTGGAGTTTGTTTTCTGCAAATGATGCCTATGCACGGAGTTCTGGTCTCCGCATTGCACTGGTAGAGGAGAGAGTGGGAGAGGAAGAATCTAAAACCTTTTGGAGAATCCAAGCAAAAGTGGATGTTCTTGCAAAAATATTACACAAGGGTTCTTTCTTCCAGTCAAATCGTGATGATCCTCAAATGATAATTTTTTTCCATTATTATGGTCATCCATTTTTGTTAATTTAGAAAGAATGAAAAAAGCTCTAAAGAAAAATTGTTCACGACAGTGAATACATGACGATCGAATCATAGAGAAGAACAAACGACGAAAATAATTTGTGATTTTGTTACCTATGGTTTGATTTCAATTGGGCAGTAAGAAATGACGATGGAGAGAAAGTTAAAGGGAATTTGGGAAGTAGGGATACAAAAAACAAAAGAGGAGAAAATAAGATCTAACAAAACCAAGATACAAAAGGGAGGCGAAAACAAAAAATAGTAAAGAAAGAAGAAGAAAGGACAAGTCTTGAATGGTTGTGTGAAGACAGGAGTAAAGAGGTATGGGAACTTGTGTGGAGAAATGCAGAAACCCCGTCCTGTGAGAAGAAAAGTACGTAGTGCTTGAGGGGGGAAAAATGAGAAAAATAGTATATATGACATCAACATGACACACAGATGATGCCTTATGAATAGTAAGAAACTTTGCTCTTTTATATATTCTAGAGATTTAGTTCACTCTTTTATAGGAACTAGTTACTAATTCTTGTATTTATAGATTGATCTTGTTGCTGTAATGTAAATGATGAAATCTGTATTCTTTAGTTTCTGCTACAAATCAAACTTTCTATTGTTTTATGGGATCTTAAGATATCTTTACAAAGTGAAATTTATATATAGAATAAACTTCAGCTTCAATTTTACTTTATATTTACTATTGATCTGCTTTTAGCAATCCCCTATCAGTCATCTAATATTTTGATCCATTATGACACTACAACCAAAAATATTTAAGAATGAAGCCAACCCTTGGAACTTGGTTTGCCAAACTTTCTGTCGATAACTCTATATGAAGCAGAAATATCGTGGCTTCGATATTTCTCAAGAACAAAATATTTTAGTACAACCAAATGCGGTGCAAAAGTGTCTTATTGATTCTAGCAAAATTGGAATTCTGTACTGTGATGCCTACATTAAGTCATCATCCAGTAAAGAATTAGAGGTTTTGGGGCTATGTGTTTGACTGTTTGAACCTTTTGTTTGGATGTTCAAATGAAATATTGGTGCCATTTTGGTGTATGTGTCAAGCTTAAAAACCAGTTATATAGAAATTAGAATATTATTCAACTTGGATTGTGCTTTTCTGGAATTCGTGGTAAAAGGATCAAGTCGATTGTAATATTTCTCTACTTGTCGATGGTTTGGAAGGGTTTGTAAGACGTGTGCATATCTTTGATCTTCAACTCTCATGTGTATTTTTCTTATAATGAAATTATTGTATGATCAATCTTTTGACCTTTTGATAGCAATCATTTCATTAACTTTTATCATTTTTCTCCCGCTTTATAAAAAATCAATTACTCTTGATTTTTTATTTATTATTATTATTTTTTGTTTATCTCAACATACACAATCCTAGAGTTGCCTTTATTACCATTTGAAATCTTACGCTAGGTTAAGTAACTGACAAATTAGTATCTGTCGAGCAGGTGAAGCGTAAGGAATTATTCCATTTTGTAGAAGGAGCCATCACAAGGTTGAAAGTCAATGCTGATATTCGAGGGTATTCATAAATATTTAATTTTCTTTCACTTTTTCTAGAGCGTGTATCCTTCAGCTATGTGACAGATTTTGTATAATTTAAATTTAGGGACCTTATCATGTTGTGGATCCCAACGTTAATTGAAATATGTGCTGTATTACAAGAGAATTACTCATATTCCTCGAGTGGAAGCCTTTTTTCCCCTCAAAGAATTTGCCTAAGGTTTAACATAATGAGGTCATTCCAGGTACAAAAGTGCCATTTTTCTCAGAATTATGTTGCATTTGTGACATTGATACTTTGATACAATTTATTTTTAGATATCTGAGATGAATTTCTCCAATGAATGTTGATATCTACAAGTGTTGAATGTGTTATATTTTCTCATGAGTTTTAGGAAGGCATTTTGTGACATCAAATTTACAATTAAAATATCATCTTTCTCCATGTAATTAAAGGGACTATTATGTTAATGGATTTTTTTAAGTAGATCATATATTTCTATGAGTTTTGTAAATGGTATTAAATGGAATCAATATATATTGCTTGCACATGGAATTTTTTATTCTTGTTATTAGATAAATGTCTATTCCTGTGTGTTGAGAAATATTATTGCTTGATTTTCTCTGCAATGTATTTGACTAAAAAATGCGAGGATGTGTTCCAAATATAAAAGCATCACTCTCCCCATTAATACCAATTGATAGGTCTATAAGTTTTATACTTGTTAGGGGACAACTGACAAAAAGATAACTCATGCTTACCAAATTCAAGTTTCTTACCTTCTACAATGATTTTTGCTGTCATTATTCGTGATGTTAATGATGAGTTGATCTAGCTAGTAGAATGAGGGGTTTGGTATATGATTTATAAGCCGAATTCTTATTGCAGTTGGGGACGTTGGACTTCGTAGCCTATACAAATTCTGATGTATGAGCCATGACTGACTCAGGAAATCAAATGTCTTCTTTGGTAGCTGGTTTTGGAAACTATTATGATGGGGAGAAAATGCTAACTCTACGGCCAAACAAACGCTGACTTGTTGATGTTTTCCATCTTTTATTTTATTTTATTTTTACTCGGTCACTCTACCTTCTCCGTTGACTTAAAAAATAATTTTATCGTTATGGAAAGTAGTTTTGAATAATCTTTTATTTGCTAAAGTTTGTTATTGTATGTGCAGACCTTAATCTCAATGCTGCATTTGAGGGGAACTCTGTTTCCATTTTCTATTATTATTTATTTATTTTATGTTTCATCTTTGTTGTGTTCCCCATGTAGCTCATCCATTGCTTGTTCAAGCTTATCGAATTAGATAAAGGAGTTAAGCTAATAAAGGATTGATAAATGAAATAACATTCAAATAACAAAGTTAATCAAACTGAGCTCATTTTTAACTCTGAAAATAACTTGTTTGAGATTGGCTTAGAGATAAACAAGTCAATTTTGTACTGTACTAAAGACTCAATGGGTGACCTCGAACTTGGATCAATTCATTTGTGCTTCTATCCTTGTCAGAAGACTAGATGTTTTATTTATTTATGTTTCAGTTTTGTTGATAATTATCTCTTTTTTGGTGGGGTTTTTCAAAATTAATTCTGGTTTACGTTTTCCTCCTTTATCCTTTTTCCTGTTGGTAATATTTTCATATTATCCAACCTTTAGGTTGAGTCAGTGTTGGATGAGGAAAATTTTACATTGGAAGAGTTTCTGGATGAAGAAGAGATAATCCGAGAATGCAAATCATTAGATAGTCGCCTCATAAATTTTTATGACATCTTTACTTTTCAGCTGCATGTTTTTGTTTATTAGTCTTGTCATCAAAGTTATAAGTGTCTTTTTAATGAGTCATGGTTCCTCGGCAATCATACCCTTACTATGACCTGTTGGTTTCACTTTTAGTTTTGAAGTTTCGTGAAGACAATGTGAAATTTTATTGGTGTTTGGTTTGAGAGATAGAGCTTAGGTTGAATAGTTGTTGCACTACATCGTTCACGAGTCTTCAGATGATGCAGATAGAAAATGAATGTTCAGACGTCAAATTGTTTCAGCTTTCAAATCAAATTTATTTTCCCACAAACTGGTCTAATAAACATGAGGTATTTATTCGATTTTCTTGGTTGTTGATTAGTTACTGCAATAGGATAAGAAATCATGACTATGTCCAGGAGGAAGTATGGACACTGGATTTAACAAAAAAAGTTGGAACTACTACATATTCTTTGATTTCCAGTGGCAGTCTTGAAACTCTCACCCAGCTATCTTCCATTGTTTCTAGGTATGAGATTAAGTAATCGTTTTGAAACTATGTTTGATATCTAGGTCTTCGGGGCTTCAAATCAAACATTAAGAAGATTATAGTTTGATTTGATTCTTTTTGCTAGGCTTAGATGACTTTATTATGTCTATCTTTCTACTCGATTATTGTTTAGAAAATAGAAATTTTTTGACTTCATTGAGCCAAATAAATATTTTGGAACGGTCCAGTTAGTCTTTTTAATTCAAACAATTTACTGCAAAATTATATAACTCTACTGTTTGTTGTCGAATTTCAATATGCGAAAATCATGTTTATGGTGCTATGTAATTAATCATTTTCCTAATGTATTTCATGTGTAAGAGTTATATAGATTGGTGATATTGGATGGGTTTCTTTACCATTATTTTCCCTTCTTTGTGTTACAGACATGAATGCTGAATTTATGTAAATCAACTTTAATAGCTGTCGACTATAATTGTATTGCACACTTTTTTCCTTGACTGTCAATTGACCTTGTAAACTTCTAAAGGATTTTAGGATAAAGGGGTTGAGGGGTGCGTTTTAGATTAGAGAAGACGGGAAGGTGTATAAAACATTTTTTAATCTTCCTTATCATTATAGTATCTCTTACGTTGAAGGTGACTCAAATCTCAAACTCAGGTTGAACCACTATAAATCTATGGATTTGCTTTAGTTCTTGGAGCTAAGGATTATAAATTTGACCCATAACAACTGTTGACTTAATTGCTTAAATAAAATTAAAGCAATAGATAAAGAATTTCTGGATTCACGTACTTATTTATCAAGTCATTAACTATAATTAGGTAATTTTTTATATTCATAATAATCCGATTCAACTCAAAAATAAAGGCTATAATCTTCTCTTGAGGCATCACAATTGCTCACTTAAGCTTCACTTATTGCTTTGGTTGATGTTATGCTGCTTGCTGCTTTCATGCAGAAGTCTGAGTCACATTGTGAGCAAAATCCAAAGAAAGCATGCATAATACAAATATCAAAATCATACTTTTGCTGATTGACCTTCCCTATATTGAACTCTGTTACTTTTACATAATACATGTTTTCTCTGCTTGGTTTTGAACCAATGACATCAACATGGAAATATAAATTGTGTTTCGTGAACAGATATGGATGCCAAAGTGAAATCCATGATCAAGCTCATTAAAGAAGTTGCTGATTCATCTGGAAGAAAGGCCGAAATATACCATAAAAAAAGGCCTAAGTTGATGAGTTTAGAACGAGTATGTTTTGAAATAGTATTATGTAATTCAAAGCAATTTTGGAGAATATAGGGACGGATCTAAGGGAGACAGCCCAGCCCCCTCTCCAGCCCACTTAATATTTTTTAGGGCGAAAAGAATTTTTTTATGTGTAAATTTATATTTTTTTTACATGTTAGTTTAGCTTGTAGTTTGATTTTGACTTCGTCCCTGGAAGAATATGAATCTTTTTAAAAGGACCCTCCTGCACTTTTACAAGAATAAATAACTACAAACGTGTGCACATGCATGTGTGGAAGATGAATTTCTCAAAAGAAAATTTATATATACTTACTTTTAACATTAACCAATCAATACACGTTCAACCACCTAGACATTTTAAATATTATAAACTCCCACGTAGAACCACTCATTTGACGTACAGAGTGTGTGAGAGAGAGTGTTCTATTTTTGCATTTGCATTTCATTTGAGTTTCGTTTAATTTCATTTGGCACATATATACATCTTCCGTTTATAATTAATATATAAAATTATACAAATTCTTATCATTTCTAGAGAGAGAAAAACATGAAATGGGAATGAGTCTCATAAATCGATAGAAAATGATGAAAAAATTTTACGAAGTCACCTTTCTTAACAAATATATCAAATCCAGATCTCTCTGCTTCGTCTGATTTATATATTATTGTTGTATTTTTTGGAATTCAGATCGTTAAATAATTCACAGATCTGAAAGCAAAAAAGGAGGGGATTTTGAATTTTTTTTGGGTATTATTGAAAATAATTGTGAAAATGCCGGGGCAAGGGGATTTGGACAGGCAGATAGAGCAATTGATGGAGTGCAAGCCGCTGTCGGAAGCAGAGGTGAAGACTTTGTGTGATCAGGCCAGGGCGATTCTGGTGGAGGAATGGAATGTTCAGCCGGTGAAATGTCCGGTTACTGTGTGCGGCGATATCCATGGCCAGTTCTACGATCTGATCGAGCTTTTTCGGATAGGAGGCAACGCTCCTGACACCAATTACCTCTTCATGGGGGACTACGTCGGTGAGTTTTATCAGGATATTTAAGTATCTGTTCGGGAAAAAAATGATTTTTTTCTCATCCGTATCTGTTGGAATATTTAGTTAATTATTGTTGAATGGGATATTATATGGATTTTATTACTGTATAATGATTTTATTTTGGCGAAGAAGCGATCTAGTTTAAGATGTCTGAATTGTTGCATTGGGTATTTCACAGTGATGCCTACTTGTGTTTTGTTGAGGTCTGTTACTTGAAGTTGAATGAAAATGCCAATAAACGGTGATTACATAGCTGCATTTCTGATTTTGGGATTATTTTTTAGATATTAGCTATCGGATTATAGCCTAAAAATTGATGATTTCACGTACTTCTGAGAACTGAGTGAATTGTTCAGTCGTCTGATGTGTTTTGAGATGAACTGTAGGCCAAGGATAAGAGGGAAACTTGATCCATGATTGAGCAATAGTGGATAAAAACATGTAACTTGATGAATGAAAACTATTTGCGGCTTACTTTTCCTTGCGTAATGTTTCAATGGGACTACAGCCCATGTTATCAATGATGCTGACAATATAGATGTAAAATATGTTCAAATTTGTCGGCATTACATATGATGCTGCCACTGCTTGTCGTATATGTCATCAACAAAGTCAAGACAAATGTTACTGCATGCTTTTATGAAACCGAGCTTTGCGAGTGGTTTCATTATTAGTCATTTATGGCTCTTAGAAAAATAACTAACTTACTTTACCAGGAAGCTAAGCTTTATTTCCAGTAAAGTTTCAGTCAGTTGCTCGAATCTTCATGACATTTGATATACATCTAATTCATACTTGTTCCTTCTTATAATGGTAAAGTTTGTGAAGTTAAAGGTGCAATTTTTATGTTTGTTGATTATTCTCTTACCATAGCTCATAATTTAACATTCCCTTATTCCATTCCAATAATTGCATAATGCAGATCGTGGATACTACTCTGTGGAGACTGTCACGCTTTTAGTGGCTCTGAAAGTTCGTTATAGAGATAGAATCACAATTCTTAGAGGAAATCATGAAAGCCGGCAAATTACTCAAGTGTAAGACCTTTAGTTTATATGTTCTGCTAATTGCTATAAGCTTATTTGAGTATATATTAACTTGTGTAGTAAATGTTGCAAGTCCACGTACATTGTTCCATCTCACATGTGGGCATCTGTAATCTGTATAAAGTATATATAAATATTAGTCCCTGGTTTGTTAGAAAAGTTTATGTAATAGAAATGAAATTTAAATCTACAATTCAATTTTTGGGTGTTTATATATTCTTGTTTGATTTTGAATTTTAGAAAGGTTTTATATTACATGTCAAAAAATAAAAAAGAAACAAATTATTGTGGTTCATATGGGGTTTACTTCCAAACTTTGCCAGATGATGCACTGGATCTCTTTGATGCCTTCATACATTTTCTGTGACTATACTAAATTAAACCTCAGAAGGCTGCTATGATTGTTATGTGATGGTTCGTTCTATTTAGAGTAATATCATTTGTCAACTTTCATGAAATGATTTCTTTCTGTTTTTGTTTTTTATAAATAAATATGTCATTGTCAAATTAATCCTGAATCAGGAAGGATTATAATAATAATAATAATAATAATAATAATAATAATAATAATAATAATAATAATAATAATAATAATAATAATAATAATAATAAATTGCTACAGTATCCGGGAATAGCAATGGTGGGAATTGGTTTTCCATGAAAACATGGAAAACCACACTTTCCATGACAATCAAGAATTGGAATTCCATTGGAATAATTGTGTTACCAAACAATAAAAAAATGGAAAAGATGGAACTGGAATTCCATTTCCATGTAATTCCATGCTATCAAACACTACCTTAGTAATTATTGGAATTGGATGTACATATTCTAATCCCTATATATTTCTTGGCCCATGCAGAAATGGTTCTTATGAATTCTATTGTAATCTTTCAGATTTAGTCCAATACAGTATTGTTCATTTACATTTTTGCATTCCAGGTATGGATTTTATGATGAATGCTTAAGGAAGTATGGCAATGCCAACGTGTGGAAGTATTTCACCGATCTTTTTGATTATCTGCCCCTCACTGCACTTATTGAGAGTCAGGTTTGAACAGTAGCTATATTTACTCATAATTTTGAGTACTAGCATGATTATTTTTAATGCTTTGCAATGTCTTGTAGGTATTCTGTTTGCATGGAGGACTTTCACCATCTCTTGATACCTTAGATAATATCCGAGCTCTGGACCGTATACAGGAGGTAAGATTAACATTTCTTGGCTTGTCATTTATCTTTGAGATGCTTCTTTTCTGTTTTTAAATTTTGGTGAAGCACGAGTGTGTAGGTAGTGATGCAAGTTCCAATATATAATGGTTCAGGTTAGAGTCTTACTGAAGTTGTTCGAACTCTGTGCCAATTGTAAGCAAATTTAGTCCTGTTTTATCTACCCTATGCATCTCTGTGAATTTAGTCCTCTTTGATTAACTAAGAGCATGCTTGGGTGCACTTAAAATTTACTGTCCTAGAGAGTAAATTACAACTTACTCTCATGTTAAAATTATTTTTACTACTTTCTAGAGAAGTAAGTTACAGTAGTAAAAATCTGACTTTAAAAATTGTGTTTGGCAAGGTAACTTAAAATCCTACTTTTAAGCACAACCAAATATTTTCTTAACCTTGTTTTCCACTTTAGGCCTTTTCACGTAGCATATTGTGATTTGAAACAATAGTTCTACCATAAAAAATATTGGCTTTTTGGATGGGATTGCTTAGGCTTTTAAGATCCTGCTCTACTACTCTCTTCCTTTAAAGTAACTGCTATTTTAAGAGCCTGGAATCGACAAACAATACTTGGATGTAACTTTTATTCCTAAAATAGTTCTTTTTAATGAACTTGGTGATCATGGTTTGCTAGGTTCCACATGAAGGACCAATGTGTGATCTCTTGTGGTCTGATCCTGATGATCGATGTGGGTGGGGCATCTCGCCTCGTGGTGCTGGCTACACCTTTGGACAGGATATAGCATCTCAGTTCAACCATACCAATGGCCTCACTCTGATTTCAAGAGCCCACCAGCTTGTCATGGAGGGTTTCAATTGGTGTCAGGCCTGTATATTTAAATGAAGAATAATATCCCATCTTGTCCTGCATTTCTCGGCCTAAATATTAATTTATATTTCCTCTCAATTTTCAGGAAAAGAATGTAGTAACAGTTTTTAGTGCTCCAAACTATTGTTACCGCTGTGGAAACATGGCTGCAATCCTTGAAATTGGAGAGAACATGGAGCAGAATTTCCTTCAGTTCGACCCAGCTCCTCGGCAAATTGAGCCTGATGCAACGCGCAAGACTCCAGATTATTTTTTGTGAACTCAATACCTTTGTCCGCTGTTTGTAGTCCCTGCTTACCGTTATGTTACTGTAGATGTGTCTTAAGAGATGAATTTTGTTATTTGAGGATTATTTTCTACATTCTTTCTTTCCGAGTTTGCTCTTCTGCTGTTGCTGCTGCTGACTTTGATTATGTGCTCAACATATTTTCCAGAGATGTGAAGAAGGCACGAGTCTTTTGGCTTGTATATTTTTTCCCAAAAGGAGGAAGCAGCTATTACATGATATAAATGTATTTTGTAATTTACAATCTATGTTAGGAAAATAGATTTGAGCAACACATCTTATTTTCCATTTTTAACTTGACTTGGCGAAAGCATTGGAAGGTAAATAAATATTTTGGACCTGACATTGGGATGAAGGTTCTCGTAAATTTGAAAACCTTTGGTAAGGGCAAGAATTTTAGTTATGCAGGCAGTTCTCAGTTCTCACTCAAGCAATGTCCCTGAATTTTTTTTGTCCCCAGATTTTCGTGAATGTGTTAAGGAGAGATATTTTGTGGATATTGGACTTGAGTATAAAAGATGTCAATGGAACTTGGATTTGTACAGGAAGACGATCTTTATGCATTACCAGTAATTAGTAATTACAAATTTACGTAAACCCCGAATTTATAAGTTACCAAACAGTAGAAGCATTGCTGTTTTGAAAGAGCCGGTTTAAAAAGAAGAAAGCGTCTCCATGGAATATATTCAACTTATAACGATAATTACAGTAGTGTTTAAATGTCAATAACTTGTTGAGCCAAAACTCGCAGCGAAAAATAATATCATTTGTTGGAACTAGAAATATGGGTAAGACCACTCTTGCCAGGAGAATTTACAGGAACGTAATAAATAGGTTTGATCGTTTATTTGCCATTTCAAGAAAAATTCCCTTTACTATTGTCTCACGAGACATAGATTAATTGCATAACAATCAAACCTAATTGTGACATTCGTATAAATTCTCCAGGCTAAAGTAGTCTTACCCATACTTATTGTCCCAACAATTGATATCATTCTACACTCTAAGAATTCGCCCAACAGCAATAACTGCCTTCTTCAATGTTCAACAATCTCTTGATCAATTACTTCGTCCACAATGAAGTGCTAAAGGATGTGGAATTCCTTGTTATCTGCAAAGAAGAATTTTTCACGATGGATGCAAACCATTGCTGTAAGTTATGGAACTCCACTGGGGATGTAATTGCTCGTCTTAATAGCTTCTTTTCTTCAATCAAGTTAGCAAACCTGCATTAAAAATAATTTTTGCAATTCTTAGCAATTGAATTATCCATGCTACATGAAATTTCAAACAGAATCATTTTAAATTTACTTACTGCTTAACATAAATTGTGGAAGAGTTCAAAATATATATCAAAGATGAAGAACTCAGTTTTGATGATGAATATAAAAGGTTATTGAGTACACAACAAAATTGAGCTAATCTATCTGCTCCGAGTCTCTGAATTAGACCCAATTGGTACTGTTAATCAATGCTACAAAGGAAAATAATATTAATTTCCAATCCATGCAAAATGAAATGATCAAACACATTTTTATAATTTCATTCTTTAAATATAAAACATAACCACGTTCGATGATAAATCATTACTAATTCAAAAATGTACAAAGCATCCCACTCAATCACATTTACATAATTATCCGATTAACTCCAACAGACAAATTCACAACTTAAATCATTCAAAAACAAATCCACAGCATCTATAATTCATAAACTTTAAATAAATAAAACGAGCATATAATCTAAAAAACAGAAAGTACAAGTGCACCTTTTCAATCAAATCTGAGACCTCCATAATTCGCTACCCTCCATTCTTTAATATTTTCGAAAATTTAGGGTTTGTTAGAATTACAGATCGTGAAATGAATTGAGAGTGACAGGAAAGGCATTTAGGCCTCTCATACAGATCCCTCTTTTGAATTCTGTAGCCCCGTACTCACTATTTTTTATTTATATAAGAGGGGCGAGAAACCCTAATTGATTAATTTTCCCATTTTGCCCTCAATAAAATAAAGATGTACTTGTAGAACCTAGATCATCTTCAAAATATTCTCTAATTATATTTATAACTACCACAAAATGTCATTGCCTTTCAATGTTATTGTATAAAATGTTCATACTTTTTATTTTTTGACATTTTCACCTTTCATTATGGAAAAGATTATTTTCATCCAATTTCTTAATAAAAAAAATGTAAAATGACAAATACACCCTCATATTTAAATAAAATAAAAAATGAAAGAACAAATTATAATTATACTCTCAAACTTTAAAAACAAAACTACAAATGAGTTAAAATAAATTGTTAAAAGGGTAATTAGTATAAAACGTCCATACTTTTTAATATTATTGTGAAAAATATTCCTACCTTTTTTTTCGACATTCTCACTCTTATTTCATATTTTATTGCGGAAGTCATCATTTTCATCAATTTTTCAATTATCACTTATCGGTGTGGTTGGTGGTGAAAGTTCTAGTGAATTGAGACTCTTATATCAAGAAAAAAGTTCAGCTAAATCTTCTCCAAGTTGAACAAATCTTCTTCATGAAATACTAACGAAAGATTTGATGCAAGAAAATTGAAAGGTGATGGTATGAAGATAGTAAAAAGATGTGGTGGTTTTCTATTGACAATTAAGGTTGCTCGTGGTAACATCACAACAAAGAGAAAACCTAAACATGCATGAAATGAATTACTTAAATTGAACACTTGTATATTTAAATTAAGTCATTTCATGCATGCTTATATCTTTCTTACTTTTCCCTCCTTTTTTTTTTTTTTTTTTTTTTTTTTTTTTTGAGGGTGTTGCATCATAACCTCGGTAACTACTGTAAACATCTTCAGACCACCACCTTCCAACTCTCTACCAACAAATCTTTCTCATATTTTTGCTGAATTGATCGACTTAGACACTAGTTCCCAACTCTTTTTCGCTATCTAAGAGTTTCAATTGAGTTAAGACTTTTCACTGCCAATGTGTCTACCTATAGATAGCAAGAAGTGGCAACAATCCCTCCTTCCCGCACCAGGTACCCCAGCAAATGATGTCGTTCTACATGGTAAACCGCTTCCAATTTGGGCAATGTTGACTTGCGAAGTCAGATTTCTTGGAGGAACTGTCTAGTGATCAATGGCCTCATCCACAGCTACTTGTCATGGGCCCAGTTTTCTCACTTCCTAACTACGCTAGAACCGTGCGGCCTTTATGCTCCACAACTCCCATTTCCACGGAATAGCGTTAAGTCAATGTTAAACTCCCACAATAATTTAACCAATGAGGCTTAGATTATATGTTAATGTTGATGGTAGAGAGAATATTACGAGGAAAATAGCACACACATATATTTAAGAAACTTCTTTATATAAATGTAAAAGAAAACTATGTACAAACTCTCAAGGATTTTCTCTCCACAAATATATCACTCAACCTTACTTTACTCCCATTCCATTCATAGAAATTTTCTCTCAACATTCTATCACTCCCTTCTTCCCTCGAATCCTTGATGGGATTTACAAATGGCCAAGCACATCTATTTATTGGCAAGCTCATGGTAGGCAAGTTGGCATCAATGACTAGGATTAATCTTGATCCAAGGGTCTTCAATGGTTGCAAGTTGCCATCCACTCTTTAGACCATAAGGTAGCCAAGTTGGAATTTGTTATCTTGCAAGTTGCATGTCTCTACACTTGCAAGTTATCATGCTGTAATGTGCCTTATCAATTTCCAATTGTATGTTAGTTGGCATGTACCTTTCCATGCAAGTGGACAATCTCTACAACTCATGTGTGAGTGGACATGTCTTTATCATGGTGGCCAAGTTGGACTTTGCTTCCTCAAGCAAGTTGAACACTTGGCACGAGTTGGCACCTAGTAGCATCCAAAACTATCGACCGCAGTTCTCCCCCACCAAATTAGGCAACGCCCTCATCGCCATGTACCGAACTGAAACTTAGACCTAATTAGCCATAGGTCTACCTTATGTTCCCACTTTGTGCCATGGCATTTCCACATCGTGACAAGCCTCAAATCACTCCTTTGGGGTCCGTGACATAGTTCTCAAGGACGTTGTCTTCAGCTGCAGTGATCACAAGTTAGTTGAGGTGCAGTCTGAAACTTCCTTGACATTCTTGATTGATTGCTTTACAAGACTTCAATCATACTCATGGCGAAAACTACTGATGTTCTCTAAGTGAAGTCTGCAATATTATGCAAGTTATGAATCTCTAATGGGAATGTGATTGCCCACAACTGCTTAATAGTCAAGTTCAACAAGCTCGTTATGGTATAGGTAAAGCTCCTTTTTTCCAATTATTTTAGCAGACCTGCATTAGAAAATGCAGCTTATAATTGTATCTTGGCTGTTGCTTTCTACAGTATACATCTATCTGAATTGTACAACATAAGTTTTGCAATATTCATAGCAATAGATTGATTAATGTCGCGTGAAGTTTCAAACTGAAGTCCCTTTTTTTCTTTAACCTAGCAACTAATACCAAATATGGAAAAGAATATCGAAGATGAAGAATTTTGGGTTTCTTGATAATGGTTGTAACGGTTAACTGAAAGGAGAAACTATAAGGCTGAGAGTGCACAACAAATATTTTCATCTCGATCTCTGCTGCAACCTAATGGAAACTGGAGAAGACAAAATACAAGGCTGGATGGTGAAACACCAACTTCACTGTATGGTTTGTAAATTAAGCTAAACAAAAGAAAAAAAAAAAATTGTCGAGATGGCCATTTTTAACAAGGAAAGAATGGACATTGCAGCACTTTGAGAAAGAATAATGTAAAAAGAAGACCACTTTCCATACAAATTATCAGAACAACTTCCTGAAAGCTACTAGTATACAATTGCACAGGATTTTTGTATACTAGTAGCTTTCAAGAAGTTGTTTTGATGGTTAGGATGAAAAATGGTGTTCTTTTTGCATTATTCTTTCTCAAAGTGCTGCAATGTCTATTCTTTCCAGGTTAAAAATGGCCAACTCGACAATTTTTATTTTTTTTCTTTTGTTTTGCTTCATTTTGCAAAGCATCATAATATTTTGTTTTCAAAAAGCACAAAAAGAAAAGAAAAGAAAAATTATACACACATCCTTACATATAAAACTAATCACATACATGATTATAAAAAAGTACCATAATCACAACTCCATAATTACATAAGTATGCCATTAACTCGAATTAACAGATTCTCTAGTTAAATCATTTCAAGAGTAGT